GCAAGTATAATATCTAGAGGTTCACAACGTCAATAGTAAGAAAAAAAAATCGACAGCAAACTGAATTCAGATCGGCAGTGGCAGGATATGGCAGACAAAGTAATAGGTCATCCTAGTTGTTAATGATAGCTATAAAGGATAGGAGGTAGAGGGTGGCAGTCGATATTAGGATCACGCCCAGTCTTTCAGGTTTCCCCAGAGAGTTTGCTGGCAACAATGAACTCTCCTATTCTTTCAATATTTATAATTCCTTTGAGAAAAAATTTCTTGGAAATGTAATTAGCATGTTGTAGTATGTAATAGCTGTAGTGTTAACAAATAAACTAGATATAATGTACGATGTATTTATCTTAAACTATTATTTCACAGTGCCTCCAAAAATTACCAATCCACCAGAGCCAAGGTCTCTGCTTGCCATTGGAGTAAACCACACTCTGACCTGTAAGGCATTTGGTGACCCTCTTCCGAAGACTACTTGGACAAAAGATGGTGTTCCTGTGGACAAGTTTGATTTGACAGGTTACCACTTCATTTGAACAATGTGAAGTTAGAGAATGTAGGATCATACAGATGTACGGCTAGTAACGGATATGGAGATGATGCCACCATTATCAGCATCGTTGGCATAAGATGTTAGTAGTTTGTCCTGTATTATCAAAGCTGTTTATCTGATTACAATGCAGTTGTGAATTGTCCATGCTTTGATTTTAAACAAGCACAATGGTATTGTGATTTATGGTTGAATTGCAAAACAACGCAATGGCGTGGAATTGGCAAAATATAGAGAAAAAGCATTTGTACTTTATGCCGAGAAATCGAATACGAAATGGCAGCGGAACATGCGCAGTGTAAAAGATTTGCGGACTTTAAATATGGTTGCCGTACAAAGCTTTATGTGAGAAATGAATAAAATGCGGCTACATATTTGAAGATAAAGTGGATAGTCAAAATGCCCACGTCTAAATCATTAAAAAACAACGTAAGCAACACTCACAAGAATTGCTACGATCCCCCGATGTACCTAAGTTCGGCCCTGGACGGTCATTTTTTTCACTTCTTATGGCCTCTCTGATGCTTTAAATCTGCCTTTGTTTTGTTTTCAAATTGCCCACGTCAGAACGTCTTCTACGAGGATCAATCGTCCATTTGAGACACATTTCAAGTCACAGAGAACCGTTTATCTTCGGCCGAAATAGCTGACAAGATCTTTTATTTCATGTTTTCCAGGTATTGACCTCTTTGGGGAAACGAGCCCTTGTGTAAGCAAAAAAATTCGGTAAATTGGTGGACATAGTGCAAATTGACAGATGGCGCGAAAGCTTTGGCTCAGCTCCGTGTTTTGTACTCATATATAGCATGCTCTCTCAAAAATTACATTGCGCGTTATATTCGAATTTTATTACAAATATAATTAACGTTCAGGTCAAAGCCTGAATTTCAATGAAAAACGGCAATTTCACCTGTTTCCAAAACATGCAGTAGGAACACTAGTCTTTTTTTTCTCATGAGTTCAAAATATTGCATGTACATGTATCTATGACTTGGTTTCATGATAAAAAGAACTTTGTTACACTGTATTTTCGAAAACTACTGCTTTCAAACTCAAGTGGAAGCAAAGTTGAGATGAAATTGAATATCCTGCATGACGCTTTCTGCCATGCAAAATTTTCTTATTTCATTCAAGCCTTACAGATATCGCGACAACTTTATAGTTAATTATTTTCTTCACAAAAGTACCTTTTTTCCAATAACCTGCATGCATTTCAAGATCTGACTAAAATTTTTGGAAAATGAAAGATAAAGTAATGGACTAATTTGATTTTAAAACTAAAGTAGAAAAGTGGTATTTTTTTATATTTTTTTTTTATTCTCTTCTTCATTTTGTAGGTAACGATTGTGAAATAAAGACAGTTGGAATAACATTACAAAGTGAAATTTGGAATTCAGCTTTGAGCAACCAACAGTCGGTAGAGTTCAAAACATTGTAGGCAAATTTGTTATCAGAAGTATTTTCTAGGGTCGAGTGCAATGGGTGACCATGGCAAGTCCAGAAACATTTTTTACTGTTACCGGTTTTATTTTTGTCAGACAAGGGAAATTGGCAAATTTTTGATGTTTGAGCAAATACCCTGCAATTTTTCGTCCAGTACTGCTTGGGCTAACTTAGCCTGTTTTTAATTCTTTTATTGGGATGGCTGCCGAATACAAACGTTTTAAAAAAAACTGCTTTTAATTGCTCTGCATCCAGCAGTTTTCCTGAACTATAAGTCAAATCGGGGAATGCGAAACAATAAAAAAATGCGTGTGCATTTTTGTAGCCTTTTTTATTTTCTTTATTTCAGGGGATTTTATGGATAAGAATATTCGTAACCATCGTTTACATGCAATAAAAATTTGCATACGAGGCGGGGCGGTAAATTGAAATACTTTGTTCAGTTATTACGCAGTAAGGCTTTGTCTTTGTGGCGGTATGAGGACACGAGCTCATTACGTCTATTGAGTGATGATAATTCCAGTGGGCAGATGATGAGTAGTTTTTTTTTTAGGCAGAGGGTGCATCTTTTACTTGCGCTATTGTTCTTGAT